TCAAGATAAATGCATGTTAATATTTTAAAAATTGTTATACGGCACTAAATTAGAAACACAAACCAAGTTAAAAGATTTTTTGGAGTTAATAATATAATTTATTTGGAAAGTTTAGGAACTAGACTTCATTTGTCTTATGGACAATGCACCTTAAAACAAGGAAGAACGCTATAGTCGAGTACCTCGACTATCAGATACCCGTTACTCAGCTAAAGGGACCAAAGGGAAATGGAGATATGCAAGCATATGCGCCACCTACCGGCGGTGGACAGATTAAAGCGTTATGGGCGTTAGAGTGGGCGTGTCAAACTTTTTTTTTTTAAATCGATAGGTATTGACGAGACTAATACATTTCAGTTAAATGTTTTTATCTAGCATGAAAATTGTAGGCTGTAGTAGACAGCTAGGGTTTTTAGGCCTGCGTTCACTAGGCTATGGATAACCTAGTGTATAGGAAGATTCGGGTTCGTGCACTTCTAGCATTGCTCGGTGCTAAGCTCGTCGGATTGTCGTGGGATCTTCCTAGTCTTCTCTATAACACGCACCGTACTACGCGAAAAAAGTTTTAAGTGCACTAAGCGGTAATCTAAAAGGATCGAACAACAAAATAATGGGTGTAAACGGACTCAAGGCACGCGGACGGACGTTGAAGGCACAAGCGAATCAGGAAACATTAAGAGTTAGGGTGTGCTCGATGATATTGCCGCCCCTTTCTGTACCCTCCCTACCATGATAACTCGTGTGAAATTGTTTGCGGTTATCCCTTATTCAATGTTTATTCATTATTCACATTTTTACTTTATATAGCTGCGGCATAGCAAGATCAATCACGATTCCGCGTTACAAATTTATTCAACCATTGTTGAACTATCAACTTCAATTAACAAAAGAAGATTAGAAACTACAATCATGATTTCAATACAACTTAAATCCTTTCATCTTCAAAAATCAAATTTAACTCAAAATATAACAAGACTCAATCTGACCGAATAACCGTCCGTTTGCTTTGGCACGCATAATCATAATATCATTTATATATATAGGTCAAATGTCAGAAAATCAATATGGTGATAACAATATTTCACTTACGCAAAACTCCGGCGATGCAGGTTCGGTGGGCCCATCGAAGACGCTGTGCAAGGATGCTTTTAAGACAAGTTATCATATTAATTTCTGACAAGATCAGTTATGTGGAATGTACGGATGGTCATTGTCAGAACTTAAAGAAAAATTACTACCAAGTCAATACAAAGGTACGCTACATGAGCTAGTACCGAGAAATTACTCTACATAGATCGAAAGTTAAACTACACAAGAGTTAGCGCCCCCGACAGCTCACTACATACGAAGGGATCTGCGTCTTCGCATGCCAGACAGCGGGTCTGATCAATCGATGCTTTCCTCCAAATACATTCGCCTATGGCGAGGCTATTCCCATCGGCAAGCCGCACGTGGCGAATACGGGCGAAGTGCCGGGTCTGTTGCTCTCCTTCGAATACATTCGAATACAAGCCGCACGTGGCGCGTGTGGGTGAGGTTATGCACTAGCCACAGTGGTCACTCAGGTAGACTTCCTTCGATTAGGGCGGTTCTTACAAGGCCGCACGTGGCATGCGGTTGGTGGGATGCCTGGCCAGAGATTTACGCCGTTCGCGGTAATCTGTAGCCTCGGTCACCTTCCAGAATGTTCGCGCCTTTGCTGATCGCAGGGGGCACCTAGCGCGACACGTGTCCGCAGGTGGCAACCCCGCCGTGGCAGGTTGACTTGAACTGACACCCAGAAAAAAAGTCTCGTCTTGGCCGACCGGTTGCGAAATTAAAAACGGCGCAATCACGCCGCGCTGGCGCTGATGTTGCCGGCCGGCTTCGACAGAACCTCTTCTCCTTTCCTATTACAAAAAAAATACATAGAAATACACGCCACTTAATAGCCTGCCTATGCGGTTAAATTTGTGTGTTCTTATTTACCAGTAGTTGGGTGTAAAAATATATATGATCCTCCTGTTAGCTTAGACTTGGCTGGTGCACACACACTTAGACAGAATTCGAACCGCGTGGGTTGTAATTTTCCGTTTGTATTCTACTTACGGCAGCAGCCTTGCGTCCGTTTTCATTCAAAGTTTTAAACGAAGTGAACGAGAACTCTTGACGCGAGAAGCTGGCTGTACGCTGCGGCGTTGCTAAGCACACCTAACGGGATCTTTCCAGATTCTGTTCTCCTTTCCGCCTTCACACGTTTTCGGTGCGCGCGAGAAAGAGAGGCTGCTATGCTGACAGACTATACGTGTAAGCGGGTCAGCTAGACGATATTCGTTGCTCTCTGCTATACTCTACGTTTAGCTGTTAGACATATGCGAATTTACATGCAAAATGACTTTACTCTAATTTCTCTCAAAAGTTTATACTTCCATTTCGACTGGCCCCCACAAGGCGTCACAGGTTTGGGCAGTTTGTGGGCGTTAAAGTGGGTGTGGCAAACTTTTTTAAGTCAATCGATAGGTATTGATGAGAACAATACACTTCAAACTTGCGCTGCGTAAGAAGCTCAGGAATCTGCACGCCAAATCTCAACAGGCTAGCTCTTATAGTTTTCGAGATCTCAGCGTTCATCTGGACAGACAGACAGACGCACATGGCTAGATCGACTCGGCTAGTGATCCTGATCAAGAATATATATACTTTATGGGGTCGAAAACCCTTTCTTATGCCTGTTACATACTTTCCGACGATTCTAGTATACCCCTTACTCTACGAGTAACGGGTATAATTAGCATTACTTTGTCCTGTCCAATAAATAATAAGGGCCATCACAATAAGTACGTTTATCGTGATGGCTTGCAGAGTAGTTCGCAAAGATGTGAATATGGGACCTGTTCGTCAATCGTATACAAAATTGCTCAGCCCTATGAAGAGGCAGTAAAAATAGACTGCCCTCAGCGACAAACCGACCCAATCAAACATATCGAAAAACTAAAAGCCGACTCACTATTTCTGCGCAGAGTAATTACTTTATGTCGATAACTACTTTTGATTAAATAAAATAGAAAAAACAAGTAAATATTTCAAATAAGATTGGATAAAGAGAGTTGCGCAGAAAAAAGTTTCGTTGGTTGAAACAAATAATTGTTTAAGTAAATTAACTATAAACAATAAAGAAAATATGCTTCAGAAATTTAAAGCATACACCCAAGTTATTCGATTCAGATTTTTATATATAAGTACTTATGATTTGTTTAACAAATACTATATATTTTTTAAAGGTTATACCTTAGGTTATGTGCATATTTTTCAGCAAAATCTATTTTTCTATTATTTTCCCACCTTATGATATCAAAGAAACATAGGTGGCGAAAAAAAACATTTTTTTATACTATTTAAAAATTTTACAGTGTTACAGCTTTTTGAGCGGGTAATAATGCATCATTTCTATGAATGAAACCATATTAAAAGTGTTCTAGGTCATATTGAATAAGTAATATTGTGTGCATAAAAATGGAGCCAAGCATAGCAGCGATCGAGCTCCGTGTGATAAGAAACATTCCCATGACATCCACTTTTAGAGGGTTCCGAACCAGTTGCAGCTGAAAGCTCTCAAACTGAAAACAAATATTTTATAGCAAACAGATAATCGAAATAAAATATCTTACAGATTTTTCGAGGCAAACATCCAAGCGAGAAGTAAACAATGTTATTTTCCCCAATAGACGATTAGTTTTCTTGTGATCATCAATGGTATACATAATGTTAGTTATATTGAGCAAGCCATTCAGATTGTATAAAAACGACCAACTGCCGGCCCAAAAAAAACTTTGTGGTGTAAAATTCAAGTTCTGTGTACCATATTTAAAAGTGGAATAGATTAGGTATCCTAAGGATACCGAAGTCATATAGAATTCGGCAAATATCGCAATCGTCTGGATGCCAAGTAGTTCACCAAAACGTATCACAATCGAATACAGCTGGTCCTGGAGTTTGGCAATACTTTCCAACTCACTAGATAGATAGGAACATCTAGTGACGAAATCACCGTCCCGCTGAGGAAGGCCACTTAGCCTCTCGCATTCTCTGATTACTTTTTGCAGCTTATCGTTTATAACCTTATATCGCGTTCGAACGAAAATCAGTATCAAGAAATATTGTAAAACGGCTAGATTTGAAATGCAGAAGGTCCATGACAGCATTAATATCATGAGTTTATGTCGGAAGTGCATGATAATCATAACTTGTACGGTCTTGACAACATAGAGAAGAAAAAGCACAAAGGTGGTAAGGATTTTTGAGAAAATACACCAGCGGAATGATCTCTTGTACTCCGGATTACCCAGTGAAAAACGAAAAACATATTCTATAATCTGAATCAGCTGGTTGCGCTTGCGCCACCTATTAAGCAGTGAAGAGAGTCCTAAGAAAAGTTGAATATAAATCAGTTTTGAAACATATTTGAACATATGGAAACATTGCATCACCTGCAATTATCCTCAGACCGGTCACTGTGAATACCACGCTCGCCTGCAGCTTGTTGGTTTTTCCACTCATCGCCGTTAAATCTGCTTTCTCTATCCAACAGTATATAAGGAAAATACAAAATATGGCATTGATCGAGGCGGCGTACAGAGTACATCTCCGCGACTTGAATACACGTCCCGATTGCTGGTCAAACTCAAAATTAGTCAAGCCGATCAAGAAGCATTTAAAGTTAACTGCTTTTAGCAACCAATCGACCCAGTCAACCATTTTGTAAAACTAAAGTTTAGGGTCTTCGAAGCGGTTACCAAACGAGGAAAATACTTTGTTGCGCTGCTACGACTGACATTTACAAATGGCGGCTATTTCAAACGAAGATGTTTCTTTCAAGATAAATGCATGTTAATATTTTAAAAATTGTTATTCGGCACTAAATTAGAAACACAAACCAAGTTAAAGGACTTTTTGGAGTTAATAATATAATTTATTTGGAAAGTTTAGAAACTAGACTTTATTTGTCTTATGGACAATGCACCTTAAAAATATTCCATGTCATATTGAATAAGAAATATCGTATGCGTTATAAGTGACCCGAACATGGCCGAAGTAGAACTGCGAGTGATCGAGAATTTTTCCAATACTTCAATTTTAAACGGGTTTCGTATCAGCTGCAACTGAATGCTTTCAAACTGTAAGGATATAATGGTATACCATTTGGTTACTTAAAAAAAAAACTTCTTACGGATTCTTCCAAGCGAGCATCCAAACCAGATGCAAATAGTGTTCTCTCCTCAAGTAGACGTATCATCTCCTTGTGATCATCTTGGAGATTTAGCGCAACGAAGAGATTGATCATAGCATCAAGATAGTAGAAAAAGCACCAGCTAAGGGACAATATTACAGCTCTTAGGCTCAATTGTAAATTCTCAATACCATTTTTAAAAAGACTGTACGTCAGATAAGTTGTACTTATTGAGAATATGTAGTATCCGCCATACACCATTAGGCCTTGGACTCCGGCGACAGCATTCAACTGAGTCACAATGGACTGCAGTTGACTTTGGAGCTTAGCTATATTATCCACCTGATCCGCCAAGGAACAACACCTGGTCATAAAAGCCCCTTTCCTCACGGTGATGTAACTTAACATCCTGCACTCGCTAATCACCTTTCGCAGCTCTGTGTTGAGCAGATGATAAAAGGCCCGAACGAAAAGGGTTACCAGATAATGTTGCGATATGGCCAAATTTATAATGGCCGCCATCCAAAACTGCAAGGTCATTCCCAAAGATTGATTCGAGTCCACACGACCCACTGAATCCCAGGTGATTGCCATTTGCAGGAGGTCGGTGACGACAGCAATGATGACCTTGATAAGGATTCCCCAGCGGGACATTATCTTCACCTGTGGTTTTTGCAGTAACAAACGGAGCACTTTTCTGACCAAGCGCATAAATTGGGTCCGCTGGCGCCATCTATTAATAACAGTGCAAAGTCCTGAAAAATATATCTCACTTAGGGCATCCCGCAAGCAAAATAGAAAATATGTATGCTACATACACGGAAATCGATTGGTAAATTTCATCAGTATAATAGTAAAACCCATCAAATAGTTACTACGAAATACGTAAAGGTAAGGGTTACTATAAAAAATACTTATGTTACTATAAAAATGGGTAGAGTGGACCAAACCCATGGATATTATTTAAATAACTATTTTTATAGTTGTCCAACTCAATAAATATAGATAGTGAATTAGTTTTAGTAAATAGTTACTAATCCACCTGCATTGATCAATTTTACCAACCATTTTTTTATAAGTATAAAATTATTTGACCTGAGGCTATTCTTAGTCCAACCATAACGTTGATGACAATTACATGCAATTTGTTTGCCTTTCCAATGTACACACTGGGCTTAGTTTGTTTAGAGATTTGCAAAAATAGAACCATAAAAATCACGACGTTTACAGTGAAGGCATAAAGACTGCTCCTTGCTGACGTAAAAACACGACCTGTGTGCCAGTCAATCTCGAAATTGAAAAGACCGATCAGGTGTCCATAATAGTAGACTGCCTTCAATAACCAACCGACCCAGTCGGACATTTTGACAAACTAAAAACTATAGCGTGGTTTTGATCCGCCAAAGTTAATTTATTTATTCCAATGATTTTCACTAAACTAATGTTCTGAATGCAACCACAGATTAGCATTGATTAGATTGAATTTGGAAGTGCCCTTGTTAGGACAGTAATTTTGGAAGTATGTGATGGACATTGATGAGATACCATCGCACAATAAGCGGAATTTCTCAGAGTGCCCCTGTGTTCAATTTCAGGCCCACTGAATAATTCCATTATTTCCGGATGTAATATAGATGTCTGATTTTCTGGAGGCTTAAACGAAAGAGGACCAACAAGTAATGACCGTGACTCAAACTATTATTGTCGTTCTGGTTCGGACTACTTTTCTGAAAAATAAATAATGTAAAAATATTGAATACGTTTTTATGATATATTATGTATTATTTTAAATGTTCAGAACGGCACAGATCGTTTTTTTTCTATTTTATAACATCAGAAAAAATTAAAGAATGGATGTCAAAGGACATTCCATACTGTGCACAGCACAAAGCGTTGATCAGTGTGCAAAAAAAAAAGTCAAGTACAAATGGGCATCCGCATTCCTGATAAACGCTTATTATTCGATTCCTGATCGGCTGGACTCTCAATTGTAGATCAAAACAGCATTGCTATGGAGGAGAGGCTATAAGAAATAAATAATACAAACGTTTACACACCAACCAAAGTCTTGACATCCCAGTCGAAGTTCTGATCCTGCTGATCATGCGTTAAGTAGCTCAAATCGATGACCAGGAGTTGCAATCTAAGGAAACACTGCAGAAGGGCCAATCGATCATTGCCCAGACCAATTAATAAAATCCTAAAAAAAGAGGCCTGAGCACCCAAAGCGGCTATCCAATATTTCCTATCAAGACTTTCGTTTGTGATCCAGCGGTTGAAAATTATGCTTTTGATGATAAATGCCCAACTGCTTACTAGCAACAAAATGTCGGAGAAGAGCATACCGATCACCGGGAGCCATATCAGCTGGATACTCCTATGAACATTGCTGATCCGTGAATAAAGACGAAACAGCTGAAGAACTTGTAAGCCCTTTCTTTTAGTCAGTTTACGTTCCTGCAGATAGATCTGAAATGCAGTGAGAGAAAGAAGGTGGCACAAATTTACTTTCGATTTATTTTCCTGACCTAATTTAAAAATATCCGATTTTTCTTATTTTACCTTTAAGAAACGGCTAAAAGCAGCTATCCAAGACAAAAGCAGCAACTGGTAGACCACAAATAAGTTGAAAAACAATTCCAGCAGAAGGTTGTAAAGCGAGAAGATGTGAAACTGCATTCGGGTGTAGCCCACGATCTGCAGTATAGTCAAACCGATCTGAAATGTGTGCAGGATCAGCAAGGAAATACCTTCCAAGTAAAGAGGTCCCACTGTATCTTCCATCAATTTGGTTATATCTATCACGTCATTGACGAGACCCACAAAGGATCGATTCCAGGGCGGACTACTCATCCAGTAACACAAGCGTATAGTATTGATAATACTTAGTTGCATGATGACCGAACTCAAAAGAATTTCAAAGAATTTTGGTGCAGAAAACATTGTTTTGGAGAGCTCCTTTGGAAGAAATAGAACAAACGCTATCGAAAAATATGGAATGCCAAAATAGTTAAGTGAGAACGCTATAATCTTCAGACACAGTGCTATTCTCTTGGTCCAGATATTGCGAGGCTGGATAATCAGCTTTTTCTTTTCCGTATCGAATTTTATTTGCCCAATTACGCAGCCACGATAAAAAATATAAGAGGTCCAGCAAATTCCCAGAACAGACCATCTCAGCAGTCGTGACTGCCACATTTTATGGGAAGTCCTTACTAATTTCGTGTCCATTTTCTGTCATTCTGAACTCAACTAAGTCTGTTCTGTATCGGTTTTTGCGCTCCAACTTTTCCAGGAATAATGAATTGACCTAATGTCATCGTAATAAAGGCTAATAAAATATGTTATGCTAGCACCCAAGCAAAACCATTGGTAGTACACCTTTTTATTATGTAACTATAATGAGTCATCGAATTGAGTAGTGAGTATGTAAATTATTGTGCGGCAGAGTAAAAATATTTATTCATAAATATTGATAGTAAAAGACTACACACAAATGGAAAAAAATAGGCGTATGTAATTTATATTTAAATTAGTTGCTTATTTATAAGATCAATTCAAAAGTTTTCCATATCATATTGAACAAGGAATATTGAATTCGTTATTAGGGATCCAAACACGGCCGTAGTAGCGCTGCGAGAGATTGGAAATAATTTCAATACTTCGATTTTTAATGGGTTTCGTATCAATTGCAGTTGCATGATTTCAAACTGTAATGAAAAAAATTCGGAATAATATTACTTGTGATTGTGCCAAAAGTAACTAACCGATTGCTCCAGACGAACATCCAACGTGTGGGCAAAAAGAGTTCGCTCTTCCAATAGGCGTATCATCGTCTCGTGATCGTCTAATAAGTTAAGAATATTTATCAAATCGAGAATGGCATCCATATAGTAGAAGAAACATAAAAAGAAGGAAATAATCATCGACATGAAGCTCATTTGGAGACTTTCGTGGCCACTTTTAAGGATACTATAGATCATGTAAGCGGTTGCTATGGACAGTAGATAGTATCCGCCATACAAAATCAGCCCCTCGATTCCGAAAACCTTCTCCAGATGGTTCACAATTGAATGTAGTTGACTTTGGAACTTGGCTATATTCTCCACCTGATCCGCCAACGAACAGCATCTGGTCATAAAAGCACCCCTCCTCTGAGAATGGAAACTTAACAGCCTGCATTCGTCGATCACCTGTCGCAATTCTATGTTGAGCAGATGGTAGTGAGCCTGAACGGAAAGGGTTATCAGGTAATGCTGCGTGATAGCCAGACTAACAATAGCTGACGTCCAGATCTGCCAGACCATTACTATAATTTGAGGATCTTTCGCTTGTTTCATTGCATTCCAGGTAATGGCGGCTTGCAGCAGGTCAGTAACGATGACTAAGGCGATCTTAAGGAGAATACGCCAGAGGGAAATTCTTCTCACCTCCGGGCTTTTTAAAAATACACGAAGCATTAATTTGGAGAAGCGCATCATCTTTTTACGTCGACTCCATCTGATGAAGACAGCGGAACATCCTAAAAATTAAATATTTCTGTTTCCTAAAATGTTGAATCTTTGAATTTTGGTCAGCTGTTTGTCAGATGTTCCTCACAAAACTCCATTTTAAGAAATAACACCAATTTAACAGCCTCGAGGGTTTATGAAATTTTTTATTCTTTTTTGTTTCAAAATAGGGTCAAATTTTTTTTTAAATTTGAATTTTAAATTGGGTCGTACTAATTTGTACAAAGTTTTAGTGATGAATGCGTCCTGCGCAATGCAAAAACGCAGGCAAGCGACTAACTTTAAATGGATTTTACCTTGAGCGTTTTATCAGCGTTTTATTAATTTCCATTTTTTAATGTAATTTTGAAAAGATACTTAAAAAACAAGGTATAAAAAAATATCCGAACATTGGTCATACTTTAAAAAGAACCCACATACAAAATTAATTTTTTCACGCTTAGCTTGTTTGGATATGAACAAGAAGTTGGTTCTTTTTACATATATATGTCAACATTTTAGTAATTTGGGTAAATAAAAATTCACAAGTAAAGATCATTTTGGGTATAAGCTATTGCTAAAAAAAACTGCAATTAATCCCACCTGCTGTTAGTCTCAGTCCAAATGAAATGATTGCAACATAATGGTGTATTTTGTTTGGCCTTCCAAAGACCGTAATGAAATCAGTTTCCTTCAGTTGAAGAACCATGATAATAATAAGAATGACGTTGATTGCGATTGCGTAGACGGTACTTTTACGAGCAGTAAAGACTCGTCCATTCCGCCAGTCAAACTCAAAGTTGCTAAGGCCTATTAGGTGTCCGTAGTAATAGACTACCTTCAATATCAAACCGACCCAGTCGAACATTTTAGAAAACTGAAAGGGCGCTCCCTTTTGTTCCGCTAAGGATAATACATTTGTGCCAATGAGTTTCCCTTCAATGACTAATGATCCCCGACAGCGATGTATGTGATTAGATTGAAGGGATTGAAGTATCCTCAATCATGCCAGTGGGTTAATTTGGTACGTAGAACGTTAAAGCACTGTCTAACGTTCGAGTCGGTTCGTGTTCCTGCAGGTAGATCTAAAATTTAAGGAAAGTTAAATCTGCCCACAGTGATGGTGTCACAAATTTACTCTGAAACATAACAATAACTTTATAAAATATGTGGTCTTAATAGTTTTTTTAACGTTTTCAAACCAGCCGTTCAAAATTCGCTAAAACTTAAATATTTTTTAGAAAATTAAATTTTTTTCAATATACGTTCAAATATTTTCATGAATTTTGTGAGTTTGACAGACAAAATGTTCATTAAACGTGTGAGTTTGACGTATTTTCATTTAATTCATTAACTAATTATTTATTTGCTTTGCCTTAAGCTGATCATAGCCATACAATATAAACGGCAATAGCGAATAATTTAAACTGCAGCTACTCTCAGTCCAAAAATAATGACTGCGGCATATTCCAAATTAAAATCATTTTGGTGGAAGTTTTTAAAACTATAATTATTAGAAGAATGCCGTCGATCACAATAGTAAGACGGTACTAATTCGAGTCGTTACTGTAGGAGACGTACGTATGAACTGACAGTCTGATCATTTAGTACGTAGGTCATCCACGGTGAAGTTAATTTTAATAAATCAACCAAATCCGTTATGTTTTAAGATAGTTCTGCTAACATATTTATTTAAGAAGATCTACAATTTAAATTTTACTACCAATTAGTATCACCCACCAAAAAGGATGTGTCATAGCACTACCCCTTTTTGGCGTCATAAATCAAAACGTAGCCGCAATTACACCTCAAATTTACAGAATGAATCATTCTGTGGGAAGGTTGAAAAGGGGCGTTATAAGTTTGGGTGACCAGGGGGCGTGACCACAGTTCGCGTTGCATTTCCGTTAGTTATTCATGGTCAATAAGCGTGGCTCACATGGACAGAAAAACAACAAACACATCGAAATGGTTATAGCATTAACCAATGGGTTTGTACTGCAATTTAACGCGGTCTCCCCAGTAATTTGGTCGGTGGGAGGAGATAGAGGCGGAGGTTACAGGATCATTGGATAATTTATACATTCATTCCAGCCCGCTCTTATTGCGAATTATCTATTTCATTGTAATTTAGTTGATAAATGTAATTTCATTAAACACCAAGAGTCGAACACCTGAAAAAATGGACAAGGAACTTTCAATTGTATCATTAAACAAATTTTTTTTTAATTACTACAATTATATTACAATAATTTTATTAACAAAATGTTGTTTTTAGAACAAAACAAAATATATTTTTTAAATTTTATTACTTTATGCTTAAAAATGAACTGTCGTTGAGTTCTTTTATAATTTAAGGTGCATTTGCATTCGTTTCCAAATCGCTGATACTGGGAACTGGATCGCAGATACACGAAATTATCGCTGCCGCGTAGCATGTGCGTGAAACTTTTATCAAATTTACGCTTATTGCATTTTAATTAATTATAAACAGGTAATTATGGTAAACAGACTGGGCCACCGCCGACCCATAAAACCGGGCTTACAAACATTACCAATTTACGAGCCAAGTGCTTGGCAGTACCGCTAAAGTGCCGTCCTGGTGCGGGTAATTCGCATTTAAAATTATTTAAAACCCGCCAAAAACTCTTCGCCACCTCTTTCCGCACCTTGCCATTTTCAATGGTTTTCCTCTGGTTTATTGCAGTTTTTGGCCTCTGTCTGTAATCGTTCAAGGCCTAAATGTTTCCGCCATAAATTTTTGCATAATTCGCACAAGTGTTGATAATGAGCTTGCATATGTGTGCTTTTGAGGTGGTGAAGTAAAGGCAAGGGGCTTAGGAAATAGCACATCAGAAGGGTTTTAAAATCTAATCATACGTTGCGGGCTCTTCCAAAAAAAATCTATCTAGGCTAATATTTTTCTGGTTATTAAAACAAATTTTTATACTGATAAATATAATTGAACCTTTTTTTAAAGATCTTCGTAATTTTAAGAAATTTTTTTTGTGAAATAGAACAACTAAACCGTAACTCGTAACTAATTTAGAAACAGAAAAATAATGCTGATGGCGCCACACTGCCATATTCGCCATTGGTAGTTTTAGAATACTTGTATCCGAAAAGGTGTGCCATCGAAATATGCCTTTGCTTGTCTTCCTCAGTCATTTTAGCCCTGGTTGTAAGCTTGAACACGGGGCGCAGACGATTCCTTTTCGCGTAGTATCCATAAATCTTATCTCCGTACTTTTTCCGACTCTCAGCGGATATAGTCGCGTATTGGGAGTAATGCTCCCTTTGAGCTGCCGCATACCAGGAGCTATTTCTCTGCCAAGCAATACGAGTCTTGTCTATCTGAGTGGCCACAACACGATGGTGTTTCAACTGATCCACGAATATAACTTCACCGTACTCCTTCATCTTTGTTTAAAAAAATAAACTCCGAAAGCCTTGAGACATTTGAAAATGTACACTTTCAAGTCTTTATTCGTATATTTTAATTCCTTTTCTGATCTTGTTTAGTAAAAATTATAAAATACATCAACTGACATACTCATAAGAGCCTGTTGCGATTTGAGTATATTTTTGATTAACCACGTTAATTAAAGGTAATGCAACTAAGAATTGCAACATATAATTTTGTAAGTTAAATGAACTGCAACAAAATTAAATCATTAGTGCAACACAGTAAACAAATTGTTGTATTTGTGTTTGAACTTTGACTAAAGGCTATTTCCATTCGAATGATAAATGACGTCTTTGATTTGCGTTTGATTTACTTTCAATTTATCAGCATCGCCCTGGGGCATATGAAACCTGAACGGGACAGGATGCTGCGCCATGCAAATAAAGATAAAAGACCAACCGGAAACGGAAATGCGCTCCGCATTCAATAAGAAGACATTGCCTTTGGCTTGCTTTTCTGGACTTAATTTATTTTTCATTTTCATGTTCAGTTTTACGAACTAGCTTGGTTTTCATTCTCTTTGTCAAACATTTGATTTTTTTTAATACTTACAAATAAATGCTAAACTTAAATGTTAACAAAGTTCATTGATGAATGTTAATGAAGGAAGGTTAGTTCATTGACTTAGCTACAACCGACAAGAAAGTTTTGCTTTCCGCCACTTGTTGTTTTTTTTTGTTTTTCGTTTAGTTATATTTTCATTGTTTTATTTTTAAATTTACAACACGCACAAGATTTGCTTAGATTTAGATGTAGATTATGCTTAGAGAGTTGCCGAGGAATTTTCCCGCTTAGATCCTAAGTAAATTTGAGTTCAAACGTCGCTGGCTATGTACAAGAAACATTCATTTTGGCTAGGTTTGAGGGTTTTCCCCCTGCCAGTCGATCAATGCCAAGCCGAGATGTCCAAGATAAATTTTGGCCCAGACCTGCAGCTGTTTGTGGCCATTTGTAGCCATCGCCTTGCTGCCTTTGGCCCACAATCGAACGGCTTTGTATGCAAATGAGCCATTGGATTGCATTTCTCACGCCCAGGTGAACCCGGTAGACATGCGATAAATGTCCAAATACACAACAAACTCCCCTCGCATGAGTCATGAACTGCTTTTGGCCTTTTGTTTGCTTCTTGGTAACTTTGTTTGGACCTTAATGCATTCGATTGCGGTTTGTTGCACATTTTCGCATGTCTCAGACAATTTCCACCTTTTGTGTTTTGCCATAAACTCCCCCGGGGAACTCTGACTCAGTTTAAGCCAAATTAGCATAAGCCAAAGGATTAGTATCATGCATGTGGCTAATTTCTCAAGGGGGAAAATTTATGTTACCCTTTTGGAAAGAAATACGTAGCTTAAAATTAAATTCACGCTGTTAGAAGTAGCTCATCAGAAAAATTGCAAGAAATTAAGAAATTTTACAATTACAATTTGTTGTCAAAAAACCAAACGCATTCAATGCAATTCTTTATGAAACAATTATGTTTTTTAAAAACATTAAAGACCTATTATTATTGAGAACTAACTAGCTACGACAAAACATAAAAATTTTAATCTACAAATTGTTTTATTTATTAGAGACCATAAAGCCAAATAAGTTGTTTAGGCCAGGTTTACACTGTACTGAATTTACTGGGTTATTCTTAGCTCTAAACGTAAATAGACTGAGGAGTGTATTCATGTATTCCCTTTGTAACAAACTGTGTACACCTGCCCTAAAGCTTGTAAGCCGACTTGAATGTGTATTATAGATTAGATACGGATCTAAAATGCTTTGAAGAGGTTCATTGGCCGAACACTCCCATATTCTGCATTGGAAGTGGGGGTCGCTTTGTAAAAGGCTACATGATCCATGGATATTTCGGAGTCCCGTGTCTTACTCTCTTTGTATGAATTGGTCTCAAGCCTAAAGTCTTCCCTCAGGCGATTCCTTTTCGCATAGTACTCGAAGTGATCGTTGCCGTACGTACTCAAACACTCCTTGTAAATCTGGGCATAGCGCTCGTAATATTCCCTTTGGGCCGCTGGAAACCAAGAGCACCTCTGTTCCCAAGTTCGACGAGTCTCTTCGATCTGGCTACCCACAGTTCGGTGGTGCAGAAGTTGATCTGTGAATATCACCTCCTCGTAAATCTTCATATTTTCGCTTGGTGTAAAATTTAGTTGGTGGTCTTGTTTTTTCTTTTATTCTTTTTTTATTTTCCTATTTTAGTTTTTTATATATTTTTTTTGTGTGACTAACTCGTCTGACAAGTGTAATATTTTGTAATATGACAAAAAAGGCAAATGAGACTACATGTACTAAGAAACTGTTCAAATTACTTTTCGAATTCCTCAAAATTTAAATAGTTTTTGTTGTGTAAGATTGAATGAGGTATTATATAAAGCATATCATATTATGTACATACATTAGGATAGAAAAAATCTTTAAAAAGTCCACTACTTCAAGAAATTTCCCCGTCTAAAAATCTGACCTATAGTTTTGTGGAATTTTAAAACACCTCGTCTCTACATGGTTTAGTATAGTATTATTTTACTAAATCATATGACGAATACGGACTGCAAATTTATATGAGTTCCGAAAGAGATCTAAAAGCAGTAGAACAGTTGCATTGGCGGGACACTCCCATATACTCCATTAGAAGTGGGGGATGCCCTGTAGCCCTTTAAATGATCCATTGATCTCTGCGATTTTCGTTTTTCCCGATCTTTATATGAATTTGTATTGACCCTGTGCTCTTCCCTCAGGCGATTTCTTTGTGCATAGAACTCGAAGTGATCGTTGCCAAACTTCTCCAGGCACTCCTCGTAAATCTCGGAACACCTTGCATACAGATTCCTCTGGGCAGCCGGAAACCAAGAGCACCGCTCCTCCCAGGTGCGCCGTGTCTCCTTGATTTGGCTGCCCACAGATCGGTGGTGCAAGAGCTCATCCGTAAATATCACCTGGTCATATACCTTCATTATTTCAAAAAGTGTATTGTGCAAGTGTTGTTTACAGTGTGAGAATATGAACAAAATTCAGAAGTGATTAAATGAACAAAGAAGATTGTTCTGGCAGTAACTAAAAAATAAACCTATTCAAGTCCTTTAAATTATTTCCAGAGGTAAACTGGTATTTTATGGACTCAATAATTTGAGTACAACAGGCGTACCATTAAGGTTTTTTAAGTTTTTAAATGGATCATCAACATATTAGGTATGTAGCAACTATATCTTCATTTACAAAGATTTTCTGATGGTCTTAAATAAAAGATATCTCGCTTGGCATTGATTGAGCTGATTACTTTCAAATACACACACACACTTAGATCGAAACTTCTGCCGAATTTTTAAGTTTTTAACTTGTGTAATTCTTGGCTTCTTGTCAGGCTATTTACAGGCTTTTTGACCAATTATTCTTATACATAATATTTCTCTTTGAGGATTTTTATGGAATGCATATGTAAGTTTTCCATAGTTTTAGCTTAGTTTACTTTCTGCATGGTATTCTGTTATTTTATGTTTTCAGTTAACTTAAATTTAATTCAATAAAGTTAAGACTTTTTGCTTTACAATTTTCTTACACTTGCTTAGGTATATAAGTCAATGAAAAGTTTTGTTGGGTTAAGTTGTAGACTTGATTTGGTATGTAGATCGAAGTGCGAATATGTTTGTTTTTACAATCGAAATGTTTGGTTGCTTTTGATATGCCCAAAGAGGGTGGATAAAATGGAAAGGAAGGGTAAAATGAGATCATAATATTGGACTCCAAATAGGTTTCAACTGGGTTTTTACTTCCTTTCGTTTTTTAAAATGAAGAAAATATCACAAAAGATCAACGAATGTTTTGCCTAAACAACAATTTCTTAATTGTACGTACAATTGCCTAGTGTTATGAATAAATATTTACAGTTTACAGCTTAGCCTCTGCTTAAATGCTCGCATTGAGTAGTTACTATTTTGATATTCTAGTCAATATCTGGCTTTTAAATAGGGAATTTGTATCCCCTTTCTCATGCGCACATACACATTTCTTGAATTTTAAGTCGAACCAAAGATTATGCTATAAATAAATCCTTTAGTTTTTGTCTCAAAGTTTTTGGCATAGGATATGTCTGCTTTTTCGAACGGCTCTGCTAGTCTATGGGTTTTAGTTTTTTTTGCGATCCTTATTCTTGGGATAGTTAACTGTCTCTGGGCCAGGTCCAAGTTGGAAACAGCAGCAGCAGGAAAACCGGAGGCAGTAGAGCAACGAGGCTTGATGGCACTTTGGAGGTGGCGGCAGCTGTTGAAATAGGTTATATTAGTAAAGTTTCTTAAAATGGGAGTAAAGAAATTTATTTTGGGTTTTACCAATCGTGCTGGACTTGGCTGCCACCGTCTCCCGAGATTCCAAGGCTGGAGCCCTCTGCTGGCGATCGCTTTCCACACTCTCCTCGTTGCTCTGCAGATAAAGTGAGCTGATCTTGGCCACGCACTAAGGGAATATATATTATAATTAAGTTAAAAAGTTATTCAAGTTAATTATATTTTTATCCCAACTCACCTTCAACTTCATGTCGCCGTGCTTGAAGTGATAAGCCCGCACCCGGAACTCCAGCCCCAGGCGGGCCATCTCCAGTCCATCCCGATTCACCACCACCTTGTCGAACTGCCGCAGGTGGGTCTTCTGCACCGGCTCGCCGTTAATTAGCCAGCTCAGATGACAGACGGGCTTGGACGGCGACGAGGTGCAATTAACCCGGACGGTGTCTCCAATTTGGTAGCGCGGCTGCCCGCCAGTTATCTTGGGTCCGTGGTTGGGAGTCACTGAAAGGGAAAATATTAAATAAATTAAAAATATGACAACAAAGTATAAGTTCAAAATAATTTAGCAAGTACAATATTTTCTTGGGTTTGCCGTATTTAGTTTAGTTCAGCTCTCAAGAACTACTTTACAATACAAAATCTTATACATAATATTAAAAAGATTTCTTTAAAGGTTTGTGTAACTTATCTGTTACATTTTTTTGTGTTTACTTAGAATTGACGTTTATGTTACTTTATGACGTTTATATTTTACCAAGCAAGCCTCATCTTTCTTTATTCCCTTCGCCATTATTTTACCTATACCATCCCATCGCCGACATTTATGACTCTTTGGGCTTAGCTAAGTTCCGCTGCACTTCAATTAAATTCCCCTGAAGTTCTTCCACCTCTCCTCGCACTTAGAGCTGCCATAGCTTTACCTTGATCCACTGGGCATCCCCTCATTTGTAGTCTCGCCCGAGCTTAGTTATTTAATTTTAATGAGCCAGGGAAATTGAATATTTCCTAGACGAGAACTAGCTGGCCATTTTGTGCCACGTTCTCTACTTTTCCATCCGCATTTTCTCATCCTCCTGGCTGTTTTATTATTTTATATGCAGCATCGCTTATTTGCCCCACTGCCCCATAAGTAAAATAAGTAAAGTGTGGGGAAAGGGCCCCTTCCTCACGGAGGCTGGGCAAACATTCACAAGATTTATGTGGAGATTTTCGCCAGGCGGTGGGTGGAAGTGAAAATGGGGGAAGAGGGTGGTGCCCAGAATACAAGGCATTGAGAGAAAGAACTTTTGTTTTGGCCATACGAAATGCTTATTCAAAGTTTATTTGACCATGTGTGTGCTTGAGTCTGTCCTGCAATGTTTCTCTGCGAGGGTGTTTTGGTTTTATGGGAAGGGCATCTGGCCATCACCCATTACCAACGCCTTTTGGGCATACTTCCCAGGCATAGCAGAAATAATACAAGAATATGTGAACGAAATTAGAGCGAAGAGAATATCAAATTGGACAGAAAATCATTTTATGTGTGTTATTTCCACACAAACTTCAAAACAAAAGAAAAAAAAACTTCACCTTAATTTATTTAAAATATGAACATCTATTTATTTTACAACAATTTCTCATATTAGCAATACAATTCCGTACCAAAATTGGCAAAAAGGAACTAAAATATTTTTCCTCAAGACCAAAGTAATGTATTAAATGTATCTCATGAATTTCTAAAACTACAACGTAGCCATATTCATTGTTTTCTTCTGCTCACCCCTTGCACTTTTTATCCGTATCCTCAAAACATGTGCAGAAATAAAAACGAAGTCAAGTGGGAACAGGACCAGAATCAGGACTCCTGCTTAAGCGAGGCCCATGTCCCTATATCTTCCACTTCCCTTCTCAATTCAGTCGAGTGTTTTCTGTATGCATTAAAAATATTCGCTCATGCCAAAACCAAGAAAAATTGGGAAGGGAATCCTACTTTCTCATAACATTGCGGTTGCCCTGTGTGTGTATAAGCCATAAAATAAAATTAATTTTTAATGGTTTTCAAAAAAATTAATTTTCCTTAGAAGTCGCCGTGTGTATTTGCTGCTCTTGCTTTTAGTTTGTTGTGGTTTTTGGCCAGTTTGGGTCCGTTTTGAGCAAAGTCCAGTCCACTTAGAAAACAATTTTCTACATAAATTCTAAGACTAAAAACTTCGTAACTCATAAATGATGGGATTTTCGAATATTTATTCGGATTAAATTTTAAATTATGATTATTTTATTTATAGAATTTTCAGGAGCAGTTTTCTGTTCTGTATTAGCATTACTTTTTAAGATATTATTTTCCTACGTGTAGGCGTCCTGGATAGGTTGCCCTTTTCCGGGATTGCATTTCCCTCTCTCGTTTGCTTATTTGTAATTTATAAAGTGAAGTTTACTTTGCTTTGGTTCTCCTCTCTCCCATGCAAACTTAATTTGCTCCATGCAACTGACTTTTTGGGAGAAAGGCGGTGAAAGTTGATAAAGGAAGGGAAAGAAGGTTCTACAAAGGCCAACCATGGTGCAATCTAAAAATCCAACTTGGAGAAATGCATTTTTGATAAATGCATTTGGAGAGATTGAAAATAATATTTCATGTTTCACTTTGTTGGCATTCGAAATAACATTCTTCTGGCCTGAGGTCCAACAGTAAGCTAATATAAGGATATAAAAACCAGAAGACTACAGAAGTTGGACGGGGCGTGTAATTATTGGATCTTTTTTCATGCTGGTAGCATTATATTATTTTGATCAGAGAAAAGACATTTTGAAAATATTTTCTTTTATGCTATGCTTAAAAGGTTGGTCCAAGCAACCTATATCGGCTTATATTATTTCAATATTTTCTTAAAATTATATAATGAATGCTGATATCAAATAGCTTTTGTTTTTTTATTTAATAATTACTCAAGCTTACCAAATCAGTGGTTTATACCAACAAGAATGCTAAATCTTTCAACACTTTAAGTGTTTGCATTATTTTCATGGTATCTGTAGTAACAACAAATAGAAGATTTAAGGTACCCACTGTCGACGACAATCGAATCGAAGCAGTTCTGCACTGAGCAATGTTTTTAAAAAAGCAAACTAAAAATCGGTATAAAGAATACACAATTTGTACCTTTCAAACAGAAATGTTTCTAAGATCTGATTATTTTCTTTAACCTTAAAAGTTTCACATGCCACAACAGAAAATCCGCCCTTTAATTAATGGATGACCGAATAAATTCAACTTTATCTTAGCCCGATATTTATTACCCCCAAATACATTTGCCACTAAGACCCAAAGACTTTTCCCTTACCCTTTGCTCACCTGCCTGGATGGGGTTATGTTCGGATAATTGTTTATATGTATTATGTGAACATTTTTTAAGTCAACGCCATATTGTCGCACTTAAATTTTATTTTGCGGCATAAATCTAGGGAGACAAAACCATAGAAATAGAGGGGGAGTTTGGGGTTTGAGGAGCAAAAAGGGACACGTATGTCTGTATGAGTTGGCAATTTATTTTGGCCAGACCTAGCACGCAACGATAAAGGACACACAAAAGGGGGAGGGCAAACCGGGGGGCAAATCGAGCCAGATGAGGAGAAAATTGTGGGGATGGGAAGGAAAGCCCGCAGGTTACAGGAGCTGCAATAAGCCGAAAACTAAAAGCTAAAAGGGAAATGGCCGAATGTCGAATAG